CTCTGCCTCCCGAGTGCTGGGATTAAAGGCGTGCGCCACCATCTCTCGGCCCTAATTTCTCTATCTTGCTTACTCAGCTGTCCTTCCATTTCTGTCCCTGGTGTCCCACTTTTAGTTTGTTTGTGTTTTTTCCTCACCGGAGCATTCTTTGGACTTCAAAACAAACGTATTTTGAGCTATGATGTAGAAACAGGTTCTAAGTGCTTAAAAAAAAGACAAGTTCCAGAATTATAAATTTGACTTGTAGTCAATTGCTTTCTCTAAGTTTTAGAGAGCAACTTTATTTCAGCATTTAGGATGCAAAGGCAGGTGGATCTCTGACAGTCTGAGGCCAGCCTGGGCTACATGGTGAATTTCAGAAATCAGAAGTGTGGCTTGACTGTTGTAAGGAGGTGGAGACACTGCAGATATGGAGACACTACAGGTGTAGAGACGTTGCAGGTGTGGAGGCCCTGCAAGTGTGGAGGTGCTGCAGGTGCTGCAGGTGTGGAGGCACTGCAGGTGTATAGATGCTGCAGGTGTAGAAGCACTACAAGTATGGAGGCATTGCAGGTGTGGAGACGCTGTAGGTGTATAGACGCTGCAGGTGTGGAGACGATACAGGTGTATAGACACTGCAGGAATGGAGGCACTGCAGGTGTGGAGATGCTCTAGGAGTGGAGGCGCAGCAGATGTGGAGATGCTGCAGGTGTATAGACGCTGCAGGTGTGGAGGCATTGCAGGTGTGGAGATGCTGCAAGTGTGAAGATGCTGCAGGTGTTGAAGTGCTGCAGGTGTGGAGACACTGCATGTGTCTGCAGGTTTGGAGACGCTGCAGATGTATAGACGCTGCAGGTTTGGAGGCGCTGCAGATGTGGAGGCATTGCAGGTGTGAAGATGCTGCAGGTGTGGAAGCGCTGCAGGTGTGGAGACACTGCCTGTGTCTGCAGGTTTGGAGGCACTGCAGGTGTAGAGACGCTGTAGGTGTGGAGATGCTGCAGGTGTAGAGACGCTGTAGGTGTGGAGATGCTGCAGATGTGGAGGCGCTGCAGATGTGGAGGCGCTGCAGGTGTATAGATGCTGCAGGTTTGGTGGCACTGCAAGGGTGGAGACGCTGCAGGTGTGGAGACACTGCAGGTGTATAGATGCTGCAGGCTTGGAGGCACTGCATGTGTCTGCAGGTGTGGAGGCGCTGAGGCTTTCGCTGAAGCATTGTGGTGTGGCAGATAAACAGCAGCAGATGGGGTCTAAACCCTGTTCGGCTTGACCTTCATCAGTTACCCAGCCTCCCCACGTTTGTTTCATTTATAAAATGGGGACAATGAGACATGCTTCATAATGATAAAGTGAGGGTTAGATAGGATCTCTCTCACACACACAAAGTGATACTCAGGACAGTGCTTGGCATCTATGAGCAAACAAGAGACATTCTGTTTCCCAGCCCTGCAGCTCTGAGTAGCAGCCCGACTGTCCTTGGTCTGTTTCTCCTTTACTGTTTCCTGACTCTTTTCCTTTCAGCCCCACCCCCAGTGCTGCAAAAGCTAAGCTCTTAGGAAAAGACTTTCCCTCCCTCTTGGAGCTTCTTGCTTCCATTTCACCCTGTGAAAACTTCTGCTCCAGGGACACGGCTGGCCAAGAACGATTCAAGACAATAACTACAGCCTATTACCGAGGCGCCATGGTATGAGCGTGGGTATGGACATGGGCTAAAGTCATGGTTTCGTGAGTACGGAGGGTGAGGAGCACGGGGTAGGGGATGAAGGAGGGTAAGGCCTGTGTTTAGACCCATGGGTGGGACTGGGAGGGGTCACTTAGAGGACAGTAGAAAGCTAACGGTCCCAGGTAAAATCTGTCATCCCTTAGGGTATTATCCTAGTATATGACATCACAGATGAAAAGTCCTTCGAGAATATTCAGAACTGGATGAAAAGCATCAAAGAGGTGAGACACCTCCAAAAGAGATGGGGGAGCAAGGTGCTCCTGGAGGGTGGTGGATGTGAGAATGGGCAGGATTCAACTTTAATTAATTTATTTGAATTTATGTGTGTGGGTGTTTTGTCTACATATGTACATCTGCAAACCAGGTGCCCTCAGAGGTCAGAAGGGAGTGGTGGACCCCTGGGACTTTAGTGATACATGGTTGTGAGCCACCAAGTGGATGCTGGGAATTGAACTCATGTCCTCTGGGAGAACAGTCTGTGTTCTTAACTGCTAAAGCCTTCTCTCCAGTCCCAACTGCGCCTTTTTTGTTCTTTCTTCTCGAGACAAAGTCTCACTCTGTAGCCCCAGCTGTTGTGAAACTCACTGTGTATCCCAAACTCCCTGTGGTCTTGAACTCACAGCCGTCCTTCTGCCTCAGCGTTTCAAGTGCAGAAGTTATAGGTGTGAGTCACGTGAGAGAGTCAGCTTTTTCTTGTTCTGCTCTGGTCTTCAGAATGCTTCTGCTGGCGTGGAGCGTCTTCTGCTGGGGAACAAGTGTGACATGGAGGCCAAGAGGAAGGTGCAGAAAGAGCAGGCAGACAAGGTGAGGGGCAGAGGACCCGGCTGTTTGCCTCAGACCAGGAGAACCAGCGCGAGCAGGGACTGAATGCTTTGCTTCTGCAGTCACCCAGCTCTCTCCTTCCCTCCTCACCCCCTACAGTTGGCTCGAGAGCACGGAATTCGATTTTTTGAGACAAGTGCCAAATCCAGTATGAATGTGGATGAGGTGAGATTCACCTTCCAAGACATAAAAGTCCTAATAGTTTTACACTCTCCTCCAACCTGTCCTAACCAGTTTCCCCTTTAGGCTTTCAATTCCCTGGCGCGTGACATCTTGCTCAAGTCAGGAGGCCGGAGATCGGTGAGTTGGTTCTACTTGCTGGGTACCACTGTGTGTGTCTTCAAGAACTGCAGTGCAGAGATGCAGAACCCAGACCCCAGCACTGAGGGGTGGGAGCAGGAAGATCAGGAGGTCAAGGCCATCCTCAGCTACTCTATCTAAACAAAAACCCACTCGGGTGGGGGCAGCACCAGACTGGACTATAAGACGCCTTTTATCCCATCACTCAGGAAGCAAAAGCAGGTGGATCTCTGAGTGTGAGGCAACACAGAGGCAGGTGGATCTCTGTGAGTTAGAGGGCAGCCTGGTCTACAGAGTGAGTTGCAGGACAGCCAGGTCTACACAGAGAAGCCCTGTCTCAAGAAAGAAAGAAAGAAAGAAAGAAAGAAAGAAAGAAAGAAAGAAAGAAGGAAGGAAGGAAGGAAGGAAGGAAGGAAGGAAGGAAGGAAGGAAGGAAGGAAGAAGTAAATAAGGCCAGTTGAAGAGGAGGAACAATGCCAGGGTTTCTCATAAAGGCCAGATTGCCTTGAGTTTATAGGCTCCTACTCCAGGCACCCCTTCACACACTGACCCTTCTTCTACCTTCCTGGCTCTAGGGAAACAACGGCAAGCCCTCCAGCGCTGACCTGAAACCATCTGACAAGAAAAACACCAACAAGTGCTCCCTGGGCTGAAGGGGAGTCCTTGCCTCCTCCCCACAGTGCTCCCTGGGCTGAGGGACAGTCCCTGCCTCCTCCCCACAGTGCTCCCTGGGCTGAAGGACAGTCCCTGCCTCCTCCCCACAGTGCTCCCTGGGCTGAAGGACAGTCCCTGCCTCCTCCCCACAGTGCTCCCTGGGCTGAAGGACAGTCCTTGCCTCCTTGCACTGAACCTGGAGGCTAGACCTGAG